TGATTATTAGATATGTGATTTTGGTTATGAGCAAAGTGGTGTCAAATGGTGTGGTTATGCTATATGTATTAATGGTTATGAGTTATGAGATATTGGTTATGTGACTAGTGGTTGTGAGATATGTGATGTTGGTTATGACAAAAAGGTATTGGCTACGAGATATGTGACTAGTGGTTATGAGATATGTGATGTTGGTTATGATCAAAGTGGTGTGGTTATGAGTAAAAAGGTGTTAATTATAAGATATGTGATTAGTGGTTATGAGATATGTGATGTTGGTTATGATCAAAGTGATGTGGTTATGAGCAAAAAGGTGTTAATTATAAGATATGTGATTAGTGGTTATGAGATATGTGATGTTGGTTATGACTCAAAGGGACTAGTTATGAGATGTGGTTATGATTTATGTGGGTAGTAGTTATGAGATATGTGATCAATGGTTATGCGATGTGTGATATTTGTTATGTTTAAAGTGGTGTTGGTTATGAGATATGTGATTATGATTATGAAATATGTGATATTAGTTATGAACAAAATGGTGTTGGTTATGAGATGTGGTTATAACTAAGTTATGATCAATTTGATTATAGTTATGAAAAAATATGATTTTAACTCATAACTATAAAAAGTGACCTGTTTAGCAGGTCACTTTTAATGATGTGGCTCAATCCTAGCCATTGATTTTTTATGTACCGTACATTTTTTGAACAAAATGTACTATAGACTTTCCCCAAAAAGCATAGCATGTTTCACATTTCTTACTATATCTACACAAATGATATTCAAAATCTGCGTTCTATTTCATTTCGGCTCCTAATATTTCAAATCAATCACTTTTGATTCCAAAGCTATTAATTTTGTCATTAAATGGTTCTTCTATTCATTTCCACCTACAATTGATAACATAATTAAGGGCATTTTTATAAAATCATATTTACACATCAGCAAAACGAGAAAAAATAATGAGTTAAATACACTGTCAGTCTCCAAGTATGTGATTTGTTTCATTTTAGTTCTTGATATGTTTTCAGATCAACAAGAAGAGCAACTACAAAATAAGTGAATCCGACTTTACATACCTTGATCAACAACTGATCAACTGGGTGAGAGGCAAACAAGAACAATCTCAACAATCCTTTGTAGACTGTCTCATCGAGTGGAACCCCACTCTGTACTACACAATAATTTCCAGTAAAGAAGGTTATCACATTAGGGGCCGGCACACCAAATTTCCAAGTCATTTTGTGTGGTTCCAGAAAAATAGAAAAAGAGCAGAGAGAAGAATATTCAAAAGTCAATGGATGGACTTGACCCAATTAATTCTCTCAAACAATTAGAGCAAGTTTGCTATGAATTTTGGCTATGTTATTAAGTACCTTCATCTCCTTTTTCAATTCATCTTCTAAAACACCAAATGGAGCATAACACCATGCTTTTCAGGCCACTAATAAGTTCCTTCCTGTTTTTCTCTTGCATTCTCTTTTACATGAACTCTGTTCCCACTTCTGGTTTCACAAATGAGACAGATATGCAAACTTTGCTAGCCATCAGGAATGCAATACATGAAGATCCTTTGAGGGTCTTTAGTTCTTGGAACAATTCTATCCATTTCTGCAAATGGCAAGGAGTTACTTGTAGTCATAGGCATCACCAGAGAGTGATTGCTCTAAACCTTTCATCACTAGAGCTAGTAGGTTCCTTGTCTCCTCACATAGGAAACCTTAGCTTCCTTCGGTTGATGAACCTCACTTACAACAACTTACATGGGGTGAATCCACAAGAGGTTGGTCGCTTGTTTCGAATTCGGTCTATTTATCTTGGTCACAACTCTTTCGAGGGAGAAATTCCTATTAATGTGACGCATTGTTCAGACCTTAGAGCCATCAATTTAATTCAGAACAATCTCACGGGAAAGATTCCTGCTCAACTTGGCTCTCTGCCAAAACTTCAAGTATTAACCCTTTCCCAAAATTTCTTTTTTGGGACAATCCCGGCTGCACTTGGGAACCTCTCTGCTCTGCATTCACTTTTTATGTCAACCAACAATTTACAAGGCCAAATTCCTATTGAAATTGGAATGCTCTCAAACTTAGAAGTGCTTCAGTTGTCTAAAAACAAGCTAAATGGTACGTTCCCTCTTGCTCTATACAACATTTCAACGATCCATGTAATAGCTCTCGTCTCAAACCAATTGCATGGAACCTTGCCCTCTAATCTAGGCCTCGGTCTTTCAAAACTTGAAAGGATTTTCATGGGATATAACCAATTATCTGGGACCATTCCGGCGTCATTGGTCAATGCTTCAGGTTTTATAGATATTGATCTTGCTGAAAACTCTTTCACTGGGGGCATACCACAGAATTTGGGTGAGCTTCAACAACTTGAACTGTTAAATTTTGGGGGCAATCTTCTTGGAGCTAAGAAAACCGATGACTGGCACTTCCTCACCTCCTTGACCAACTGCACCAATCTAAGATTATTGATTTTGTATCGGAATCAGCTTGGAGGTGTGCTGCCCACTTTGATTGCAAATATCTCCACCAAGCTCATAGGACTGAGGTTGCAACAGAACTACATATCAGGTAGCATACCTTTGGCTATCGGGAACCTTGTCAACTTGAATGTGCTTTCATTATTTCAAAACCAACTCACTGGGAGCATTCCTGATTCCATAGGAAAACTAATCATGATGCAACAGCTCTATCTACTCAACAACAAATTGTCAGGAAAAATTCCGGCCTCTTTTGGTAACATGTCACAACTTGGTAATCTTATCTTGAATGACAATAGATTAGAGGGAAACATACCTGCTTCTTTGGGTAATTGCACAAATTTGCAATGGTTGGATCTTTCAAGTAACCGCCTTAGTGGTAGGATACCAAAACAAATCGTTGAACTTTCTTCGTTCACTATAGGTCTTTCGGTAGCTCAGAATTTCTTAACAGGACCACTACCATCACAAATGGGTAGTAAGAAAAATATTGGGCAATTCGATGTTTCAAGAAACCAACTATCAGCAAACATTCCAAGCACTCTTGGTGATTGTCTAGTGCTAGAATTTCTAATAATGGAGGGCAACCATTTTGAAGGTACTATTCCACCATCATTCAAACAACTAAGGGGTCTTCAAGTACTAGATCTTTCAGATAATAATTTGTCTGGCAAGATTCCAAGTTTTCTAAGCAAGTTCTCTTCGATTCAATATCTCAATCTGTCATACAACATGTTTGAGGGTGAAGTACCAAGTGAAGGAGTGTTTAAGAATATCAGTGCATTCTCAATTGTGGGAAATAACAGGCTCTGTGGAGGAAATAAAGCATTGCAATTGCCTGTATGCCCCACAAAAATTTCAAATAAACGAGGAAAGCATTTCTCTAATAGAGTACTAATTATTGCAATTAGTGTTCCTGTCTGCATCATTTTGCTGCTAGCATGCATTTGTGCGACTCTGTATTGGAATAGAAGGCGGAAACACAAAACACCGCCAACCTTGTCTCTTGGGAACCAGTATCCTAATATTTCTTATGCAGAAATTCTTCAGGCAACTGAAGGATTCTCCTCGAGAAATTTGATTGGTGAGGGAAGCTATGGTTCTGTGTACAAAGGGATTCTCAATTGTGAAACTATAAGAGCTATTGCTGTCAAGGTACTCAATCTTCAAGTAAGGGGTGCCAGTAAGAGTTTCTTGGCAGAATGTGAAGCATTGAGGAATATCCGACATCGAAATCTTGTCAAGATTATCACTGCTTGCTCAAGCATAGACTTCAAAGGCAATGAGTTCAAGGCTTTGGTCTTTGAATTCATATCCAATGGGAGTCTCGAGAGCTGGTTACATTCGAGTTCACTAAACCAGGACTCCAGGAACTTGAACTTTGTTCAAAGGCTCAATATTGCAGTTGATGTAGCCTCTGCATTGGATTATCTCCACAACCATTGTGAAACACCTATCATTCATTGCGACTTGAAGCCAAGCAATGTTCTTCTTGATGATGATCTCTCTGCCCGTGTAAGTGATTTTGGTCTGGCAAGAATTTGTCCAACCAAGACAGGTGCATCCACTCATACACGCAACAGTAATTCAAGTAGAATTAGAGGAACAATTGGATATATTGCCCCAGGTAATTTTATCCATTTAATTGTTCTTTTGTTAAAGTTATCATTCTGATTATATTTTGCACTAGGGTGTGTTCCCTTCCCTTTTCCTTCTTTCAACAGAATCCTTCTCAAATACAAGATTCAAATGCTCTCTGTGTTGTCGTGTTTGGTATAGCTTCTAAATTGTTTCTTTAAATTATTTTTGGAGAAAAATTCTCAAAATAATTGACTTTTGGGTAACTCCAAAGAGTTGTTTATGAATTTTCCAAGTCCAAAATTGTTCTTGATTCCAGAGACACGAAAAACAAAGACGAAGAAAACAGAAATAATGTCTAACAAAATATATTTGATTGTTTCTACTTGCAGAATATGCTACAGGTGGGGAAGCGTCAATAAAAGGTGATGTGTACAGTTATGGGATTCTTCTACTAGAGATGTTTACTGGGAAAAGACCAACAGACAACATGTTTACAAACAATTTCAACCTCCATAACCATGCTAAGATGGCTTCCACTGACCGGGCGATGGAGATTGTTGATCCTTTGATGATATTGGAAGGGCAAAATGAATCAGGTAAGACTAGTGGAAGTATCAGAGGCAGTGTTGCTAGGACAGTCAAGTGTTTGGGCTCTATCCTTCAAATTGGAGTTACCTGTTCTGCAGATTTACCAAGTGAAAGAATGAATATTAGTGATGCTCTCATGGAATTGCAAGTGATTAGAGATGTTTATCTTCAAAAAAGGGAGATGAAATAAACAAGATAACAAGATCATCATTGTAGTTTTCTGCTTTAGTTTGTGTCATTCTATTCATCTCAGTTATGAGAAAATTCTGAGCTACTTGTAAAACATAATTGTGCCAGTGTTTCTTATTTGATGCCGCTTACAGATATTTCTCGCTTAAAATAAAAATAAATAATTAAGTAGATATTGTCTCTGAGGATGTAAGGGCTTTTGAATTTTGATGGTGTATACAAGAAAACTTGTAGGCTGAATGTTATGGACCTATCTGATCATTTTTTGCATTTTGTTCAGTGATTCATAAAATGTTTTGTGCTGCCAAATTTCAGTTCTGGATACACATTGAATTCAGCTTAAGCCCAAGTTACTATAGGTTAAGCAATTTGGTCATTGTTCCCCAATATTTTAGGAGTTGATACACTAAATCAAGATTGGTGAGACACGAAACACAAATAAGAACAAGAAATGAAATCAAGCACACAAAAAAACACAAGTTTTTCGTGATTCAACCCAAATTAGGGCTACGTCCATGGCTACTATGGTTTTCACTATGACCAAAAAGCTAAAACATACAGAAGTAGTCTTCTCACCCTTAACTATAAATACATAGGAATTAAGGCAACAGGTCACCAGTGCAGAAATATCAAAATAACCTAACTTCAAATTCAGAATAGAGTAATTACCTGTCAAGATTCACAGTATCCTATCATAAGATAATGGATAGCTACAAGATTTTAGGGTGATTTCAGGGATAGGCTGTCATGAATTAGCACCACAGACAGTATCAAGTAACCAAGTGTATGCTTCTTCTTTTTTCACTTGCAGGGGCTTCTTGTTGATCAGATTTTATGCCGAATTTTAGTGAAATAATTGGAGCTTAATAATACTTACTAATTTGGTAGAAAACAAAAGTGAGATACATTGTCGAAAATCAAAATACATCAACAGAGAGAAACAACTCTGCAACAACAAGTATTTGGAATTGATTGGAACAAGAAGATGAAAATTTTTAACAAATATGAAACACTGGATTGTGTTGTATTGGGTTAATTGATATTCATAAATTAAGAATTACTGCAAGAGATTCATTCATTATTTTTTGGTTTTGGGAAAAGAACAAAACAAAGGCTACAAAAGTCTTAGAGTATTGGCTACTTTAATTCGGATGATCTGGAATTCCAGTAAGTTATGTAAATATAATCTTTATGGTACAGAAACAGTAAAATTGTGAAGAAATAAAGAATAAATGGGAATATCACATAACGAGGATCAGCTCACTAACTAATGAAGATCATTTCTCACAATACTAAATATCAACCATACTTGCATGCTAACAAATCCAACAAGAAATTTAAAAATGAAAAATGTGTAATTTGGGAATAAAACAAGAGATGACACCAAGAAAGCCTCAGATGTGATCAAACAGTACACGTATGGATGGTACCCTTTCGGGCATAAGATGGAGCCAGACATTTGTCAACCATATCTACAAGGTTGGGATTTTCCAAAGTGGCTGCCACCTATTCTTTATCATTCAACCGTTTATTTACTGTCAGCAAAAAGGTGCGCAACAAATGTCACTAAATATTTTTTACAAGATTTAGGATTACAAAGTGGCTCGGCACAATGAATTGATAATCACCAACTCAGATCACATTGCATTCAAGGTTGTTAAAATCGGAATCTTATGTAGGATCAGTGAGAGGATCTCGTGGATCAGATCAAGGATCATAAGATTATATTTTCTATTAAAAACAAAGTAAAAATACAAATCAATATGATACATATGAAAAAATAAGATGAAAAATAATAAATCTAGCGATCCTACTTCCAATTCTGCAATAACACTGATCCTACAACAATTTGGATCATTTTAACAATTTAGGAGATCCTATGATCCGGGGATTGCTATTTTGATAACCATGATTGCATTAAATACATTAAGTTAATGATATTGTTCTTTAGGAGTAGATGCAGGAAAAATAACCAGGAGACAGCCTATACTTGGTCAATGAAGCTTAAAAAAACTTCATACTCAGTTAAAGATGGATTGCATAATCACAAAGATGGAGATTATAAGTTTTCTCAAAAAAAAAAAATGGAGATTGTATTTTGTTTAACAGGTTGATGATAGATTGAAGGTGTTCCACCAAGGAGACCTGAAATATCTATGCAAACTCTTTACAAACATGACCTAGTGAATTTGTAGGATTATTAGTGGGCCACAAGGTGCTTTTCATATCATTAGATTACCACAGAGATGTGAGCAACACATACATGTCAGAGAGAGAGAGAGAGAGAGAGAAACTTGCAGCTTCAGTTGCATGAGTTCCAGGTGCTACCCTGATATCCACCTGGAACAGTAACAAGAGATGTCACGAAAGAGTAAGACAACCTAAAACTGAAGGCTGTATTATTTATTATATTTATAAGCAAAATTGAAGGCTGTTTTATATTGTTAAATCAACCAAAAGCATCACTCGTTGGATATTTCAACTGAAGTTTCAGACGATTTTTACTAACTTAATTTTTGGGGGAATTATTAAGTTTACACATAATATTATTAAGGAACAAGGTAGGACCCTAAACCCAGAACTTCGGAACTTTAAGCTTAACATATACTATGTGTATATATACGTACACATGCTTTTCCTATATGTGTTTGTATGTATTATGTGTATATGTTATAATCTAATATAAGATTAAAAGGTTAAAATTTTAAAAATTAGAAATAAAGTTAAAATGTTAGGAATTAGATTAGAGAAATATGTGGTTTTATTGGTTAATATATGGTTAAGTTAATATATTGTGTTGTTCTTGCAGTCTTTTGGGTATTATGGCTTGAAAAAAATCATAGAGTTTTAGAGGAGAAATTTGCCAACTTGCAGTCTATTCGGGAGAAATTGGTTTTTTGTAATCAAGTCCGAGAAGGGAATTTCACCGATCAGCTTTCATCCTTACTTTCACATATATTCAGGCACAACAGCACTTTTGACTACTGGAATTGGATTAATAACTTCATTGACTCCCAAGTCCCGATGTTCTCTGATGGTACTCATCTAAATACATAACAAAGACCCATTATGTTGTTAACCAAGCTAACCATGACAGAATAAAGGTCATACCTTATAATGCAAAGGCAGGCTGCGCATGAGTTTCACTCGCAAACACAGGCCTATCACCGTTGCCATACTGCAATGTTAAACTGTTGGAGTGAATGTCACCCTGAATCAGAGAACAATTTTTAATTTAGATGACTGGAGAATGAGACCCAGTATGAGAATCAAAAATTCCAACAATACAGGGAATTTGTTTCTACCTCACGCAGTTATGCTTGTCATCTACCCATGGTTATCAGAATCCCGATCCGGATCTTTTGATCCATTTAAGTACAATGGATCCGGATTGTGTAAAAAATTCCTTATAGGTAGGATCTTTCGATCCTAATAATAGGATCTTATAGAATCGTGGAATTTTGATCCGAATCCAATCCTATCCGATCCAATTTACAAGCCTTATTTTGTATTGTATGACATATTTTATTGTAAATTTTATGTTCGTTGTTTAAATACCAATTTATATGGTCAAAATAAATAATAAAAATTAAGTAGTATTGAATCAAATTAAACTAATGTTGTGTTTGGTTGGGGGATTTGGAAAAGTGATATGGAAAAGGTAGGTGAAATATGAATAAAACATATCTATATTTCACCTAGTTTCACACACTTTTTCCCTTTCCCTTTCCAAATCGCTTCTCAAATCCTCCAACCAAATACAATATAAGAAAAACAAACTAGGAAACAAACATTCAAATATTGCTGTAATTTAAGAAAATTAACTAGTCAGAAAAATAAATTTAGCTTTAGTAGAGTCTAAGGGGGGTAAGATGATTGCAACTTTATCCCAATTTTTGGAGAGATTATTTTTGTGACTCGAATCCACTCCACCAGGGATGCTAATGACAAACCTTATCATTCGGTTAAGCTGCTCTTTTGAATTCTTAATCTATTTTCATATCCAACTTTGTTAAATATTTTTTCTTCTTTTTATGCATTATTGTAGATTGTAAAGTATTTTGTTATAAAATTCTTCTTCTTCACCTTCTTTTTTGATAAAATACAAAACTTTTACCATCGAGTTTTCTATTGTATAATATTATATGTACATTTTACATGGAGTATTATATTTTTCACAATATTTTTCACAATATCTTCACAAAATCTAGCCATCGCGCAATATAAAAGAGGCCTACCAGTAGGGAACCGACTAAGAGATTCAATTACCATGACGCCACCCCTCACCATGGAGGCCCTGATGGAGAGAGTGCATCAGCACATCAGGGTAGAAGAGGATGGCGCACGTGCAAAAGCAAAATCTAGCACGACCGTAGTACCAGAAAAGAAGACCTCAGCAAAGGTCAATACAGTAGATCGACAGAATAAAAGCGGCGTGGCAGACGAGAAACGGAGAAGCCCAGACAAAAGATGGTTGAGAATCCGCACTGCCATAACAACGGTGTTCAAAAAACCAATATATCGGATTCTGAGCGAAATAAAAGACAAGCCTTTTGTCAAGTGGCCAGCCAAGCTAGGGGAAGGTCAGAAGAATTACGATGACAGATCAACGGTGCACCTTCACAAAGAAAAGGGGCACCGAACTGAGAATTGCACGCCACTGAGACAGCATTTGGAAGAATTGGTGGCAGCAGGCCCTTGGACGAATACATTGAAGGAGGAGCGCAACCGGCCCCCCAAGATCATAATGACCATCCCAATAGAATGCCAAACGATGCACCACCTCAAGGCATTATCAATGTAATTCATGGAGTTTTTGAACCCGAGCGCGGTATGTGAGCTCAGAGGTTCAATCAAGAAGGCTGAGCACTTTAGGGAAGTATTAAGTGCCCAACCTGCCATCAAGAAGGGGAGGACAGAGGCAACAAACGTCATGACCTTTTCAGATAAGGACTTAGAACGAATTTACTGCCCCCATAATGATGCCCTGGTCGTCACTCTCCGAGTCAGGATTTTGACGTCAAGCGGATTCTGATTGACCAGGGTAGTTCATGTGAGATCATGTTTACGACACATTCAAACAACTAAAGCTGCAAGACAAAGACTTGGCACCTGCAGTTTCTCCCTGATTGGATTCAACTCCATGCCAGAGTGGCCTGTCGGCAAAATAATCCTTCCAGTCAGAGCAGGAAGTGTAACAAAACAAGTGGAGTTCTGGGTATTG